AACTGAGGACGCGTGGGTGTCGCGGACCTCTATTCTTCCACCCTATGCGCGGATATAACTGAGGACGCACGGGTGTCGCGGACCTCTATTCTTCCGCCCTATGTGCGGATATAACTGAGGACGCGCGGGTGTCGCGGACCTATATTCTGCCACCCTATGCGCGGATATAACTGGGTGTTGCGGACGCCGCCCTCTCTATACTGCCGCCCTAGGCGGCCGCCTAGGTCGCCTCTATGGACGCGCCAGCCCTGTCCATCTGCAAAGATATTCAGCCTAGTGTCACGGAGAACGAAGGTTTTAAACACCTCCTCCTGTTAATTTTTATTTAATTATAATAATAATAATAATATTAATAATAATAATGATAAAAATAATGGGTGTCACGGTGGGTAGTTTGACCACCTCACAGCAAGAAGATTGCTGGTTTGTTATATTTTTATTAGCCTGTTGTTTACAGTGACAGTGATGTTTCAAAGCAGCATAACACTGCTAGTTCACAACCTTAAGTTTTGAATATTCAGTGGCAAAATATATCTTTGTAAAACTTGTTTTCATAGTTGAAAAGTTAAATCACAATTCTTGTTGTGCAATGCTAAACCTTTATGTTGAAAGAGTGCAAATATATATATTTTAATACATATTGCACTTATACATTCTGTTTATCTTGAAAATACTTAAATAATATGTGCTATATGTTCTAAAATGGCCCTCTACTGTAAACTGACACTCTGGCTCTGAGAGAAAAGCCAGTTTGTAAAAAAAAATCTTGGTTTTGCTTGGTTAATAAATAATCAAACTCATTCAATGGCTCAGCATCCTCTTTCACATAATCTCATAAACTTGATTTAATTAGTTAGTGCTGAATTATCGCATTGTATCGTGATATGGATGTGAATCGTATCGTGTTGCATCGCAATATGTCACAAATGTATCGCTAATATATCGGATCGTATTCTTTGTATCGAGATGCGTATCGGATCGGCATTATAGCTTAGATGCCCAACCCTACTGGATTCACATATGCCAAACGAACCATGCTAACTGGGGAAACCCGCCAGGTTCCAAAACAAAAGTCTATGTGTGAAAGCACCCTAAATCTAAAATTATGTCAAAACATGTTTGTGTGTGTTGAATAAACTCATTAAAGGATGATAATGTTTTCAATGATTGTAAACAGCTGATACATATATTATATCCATGGTTACCCGCTGTTTGTAACTTTAGTGTAAATCAAACAACAAAGGGAAAAGAAAGAATCATTTAAAGGGCACGCTTTTTTTTACCCCTTTTTAAGATTTAAGAGAAGTCTTTGGTATCTCAAGATTGTGTCTGCAAAGTTTCAGCTCAAAATACATCAGATTATATATTATATTTTTCTGAATATGTGAATTTTGACGTCTGAGGACACTGTAGCTGTTTTTGTTGCCTTTGCCTATTATGCAAATGAACTGGTTCACTCCACCCACAATTGCCATACATCTCAAAACCATCAATCTCCATCTATGGCTCTGCGTGTCTCTGTCTCCTGCTGCATCTCACATTAGATAAACAGCACAAGACAGACATGAAAGAAGCAGATCTCCTGTTAATAAGAAATACCGCAGTACATATTTTTCCAGTGGTTATTTCATGTATTTGTTGTGGCTTTAATTTAAGCTTTTCTGCAATGTCACACAAAATGGCGTTACAAATTATGCAGTATATGCACACACACATTTAACTTTCCACAGTTTTTTGTATGGCAAATGTGACAGGATACATGTTAATATACACTGCTGTATGGATATCCGTTATGTTAATGTACAAAAATAAACCTGATTTGATGTCCACATGTGTGATTGAAGAGTCTTTTTTTATAATTGTATTGACACTATGCAGCTGTGGTGATTAATTACAGCGATTTTATTGTCTTTACTTTGTAACAAACATAGAGGTTAAAAACCTTTAAACTTATGAAAGTCATTTTTGAGGTGCAGCTGATCACGCAGAGTTAAAACAGATCTTTGCAAGTCCTGATTTAGATCAGGAAATATAAAAAAAAGAGACTTGTTGTGTTTAAATCAATCCAATATGACTGTGCACACAATTTACTCACACTTAGTTCTGTCTAAATAGCTTCCTAAAGTTGATTTTTGCATCATCCTTTAAAGAATATATTTTTTGTACTTCTTACCTAAATACTATTGCCAGAAAAAAGGGATTTATTTCACTAGAGTCTATTTTTATTGTATCCATCACTAGTGGCTGTTTTTAAGAGTATGCAAAAAAAGGTTATTGACAAAACACTTTGGCATGATTGTATTGAAATTAATACCTGTCATCTTACCTGCCACTAAGTTGTACTTGAGATTTACAGTATACAACCGCAAATCAGTTTACAGCATGGTTTCGCAATTAAAGTGTCTGAAACTGTTAATTACTGTAAAAAAATAAAACTTAAGTAGACAGTTTGACACTAAACCTTTTTATTTGTCCTAAATGTTTTATGTTTAATTTTTTCAATATTATCTTAAGGGCAGCACGGTGGGGCAGTAGGTAGCGCTCTTGCCTTACAGCAAGAAGGTCGCTGGTTCGAGCCTTGGCTGGGTCAGTTGGCATTTCTGTGTGTGGTTTGCATTTTCTCCCTGCGTGGAGGAAAATGTGTGAACGTTACATTAGGCCAGTGGTTCTCAATTCCCACCATTCACGTTTTATAAGCCTCTTATACTTGACACAAAGATCAGTTCATGGATCTCTCTGTTACTGAGTTGATGATCCGAATCAGGTGTGTTAAGTAGAAGGATATACAAAATTTGCAGAGCAGGGGGCACAAAGACCAGAATTGACGACCACTGCATTAAACATTTAAATTAAAAATAAATTAATAAATTGTGTGTGTTTGTGTGTGTTTGTGTGTGTGTGTGTGTGTGTGTGTGTGTGTGTGTGTGTGTGTGTGTGTGTGTGTGTGTGTGTGTGTGTGTGTGTGTGTGTGTGTGTGTGTGTGTGTGTGTGTCTGTGTGTGTGTGTGTGTGTGTGTGTCTGTGTGTCTGTGTGTCTGTGTGTGTGTGTCTGTGTGTGTGTGTGTGTGTCTGTGTGTGTGTGGATGTTTCCCAGTGATGGATTGTGGCTGGAAGGGCATCCGCTGCATAAAACAAATGCTGGATAAGTTGACATTTCATTCTGCTCTGAAATCCTAGATTTATAAAGGGACTAAGCCGACAAGAAAATGAATGAATGAACTGCATATTGTTGAAAAAATGAATATTAGTAACTATTAGCTGACTTAGAAAAACTTGAAAATATTACAAATTCTGGTGTAAAATGCACAACAATGTCTGAATTCACATTCAAATGCAATTTATATTTCAATAATGATTTTACAATGTTGATCAAAGATGTCAAAGCAGCTTAACATAAATGCCAATGTAGTAGATTAAAACTGCTTTGCTCCAGTTCAAGTTCAGTTTAGTTCAGTTCAATGTAATGTAAATGTCACTGCTGAAAACCCAAACCCTGAAGAGCAAATCCAGAGATGCACAATTACACCAGTAAAAGCCAAGCAAGCCAGTAGCGAAGAACAAAATGTAGGAATAAGAAGCCTTGAGAGAAACCAGGCTTAGTTGGGCACGATGAGTTTTTCTGCGGCCGAACTTCTTGTGTAGAGCTATAGTCTAGGTGCCGGAGGCTGGAGAACGCTGGATGTCTGTCATAGAGAAACTGCAGGTGTGAGTAGGTTACCACCAGCTGTTCAGGCTAGACTACGGGATCAATGCGGAGACTCGTCTGTCACTGGGGTCTTTCAGGAATTAGTCTCCCGCTCTCCACTCCTCCATGACCATCACAGCATCTGGTTAGGAAACAGCTCGATCCATGATTATGGAGGAGAGGGAAAAAAACGACTAAGGGGCCGATTACACGAACGTGCTTTTACATTCCAAAAATGCAAGGCGCACCACACTGACTCAACGAAAACCCCACCTGTGCTTTCATTTGTTTGAAGAATGAAAAAGATGCAAGTGACGTAACGCACATTTTCCGCTCAGAGTTGACTTTTTATCAGCTGCGAGGGGACAGCATGCAAGGGCAAAAATGCAAGGTGCGGCAGGCAGTTAAGACGTGAGATAGGCAGGGTGCATAAGCAGTGCACAAAATGCTCACTGCCGATAGTAAATCATTCAAAAAAAGGCACCTCTCAACACAAAGCGCGTTTGGTGTGATCGGCCCCTAATACAGCCCATATGCCGGCAGGTTCCCAGTATTCTATATTGAAACCATAGAAAATAACAAAAAAAAAATTAACAGATAAGAATACAATCTACAACCTTCACAAAACATTTTTTAATCTGTTTAGCTTGATTGCTCACTAGTCTTTTTAAGCATATGTCTGTGTCAATCAAGATGTCCCTCCGAAATGGTGTTTCTTTCTTCAGACAAAACCTGTAAGCACTGCTGTGCTGGTTCATGTTTAAAAAAAAAAAAAGAATTATAAAGGTAAAAAAAACATGTAACCAGCAACCATTGACCTCCATAGTAGAAAGTAGTAATGGTGTCTAACAGAAGAAATAAACTCAAACAGGTTTGTGACAATTGAAAAGTGAGTAAATGATGACAGAATTTAGAATTTTATGTGAACTATGCATTTTAAATTTGGTCATGCTCTACTTGTCGAGCTCTTTTTGAGTTTTTCTAATTATTTTCTTATATTTAATTTAAATGTTATCCCATGTTTGTGCTCTGTTCTCTAAGGCTGTTGTTTTTCTACCATTTAAGTTTATTTCTTTAACATTAACATTTTACATTTTAAAACTGAAATAAAAAAGTCTGTAATATTTCTGCAGAAAGACTCATCTGAGTTTATATTTAATACTTTAAGTTCCTTTTGATATTTAACAATTCATGAGTTTTATATATGAACTCATATTAATTATATCTGAGCATACAAAATACTTCCTTTTGAAGTGTTTAATGCTGATTATTTTTGGCATTTGCAGTTTAATTGAATTTGAGTTATTTATGTTTAGGCACGAGGAAGAAAGACGTAGACGCGAGGAAGATATGATTCGTCATAGAGAGCAGCTAGACATAAGACGCCAGCCAGATGGATTCAAGTCCGGTTTCATGGAAAGTGTGAGTACAAAAAAAGGTTTCATTCTGATATATAAAAGATTTATTTTAGCAAATGTTGTGGCCTCAAGACAAGCAGTACATTCATAAAAGCATATAGAACGATGACCACTTTTCTTGCTCTTTGTTAGTAGGGACAGGCTATAGCACTAGTGTCAATCTCAGCTCCTGAGATCAGGGCTGCAGCTCTGCACAGTTTAGTTCCAACCCTAATTAAACACATCTGATCAAACTAATTGAGTGTGTAAGAGCAGGCTAGAGTTGACACCCTTTGGCTATAGGATTAGCTATGCAAAAAAGTCTAGAAAAAATATCAGGAGACTTTGGAGTATCTTCAAGCAGCTTCATTTATTTACAAAGTGTAACTAGAGATCGGCACATTGGTGTTTAGAAACTTTTCATGATGCAGAAATGCTAATTGGATTAAAAAAAGCAAGTGAGGGTTTCCGGTATGGCGTCGACACGTGTAGCAGCATAGAAAGAGCGCTCCCATACACACTGGTATTAATCCTCCTTTTTACATCATATATGATAACCTAAACCACAGGTGTCAAACTCAGTTCCAAAAGGGCTGCAGCTCTGCACAGTTTAGTTCCAACCCTAATTAAACACACCTGATCAAACTAATTAACTCCTTCAGGCTTGTTTGAAACCTACAGGTAAGTGTGTTGGAGCAGGGTTGGAACTAAACTGTGCAGGGCTTCGGCCCTCCAGGAATTGAGTTTGACACCTCTGACCTAAACCATATTTAAATAACATGGAGGCGGACAAAAATAAAAAGGCTAGAACAAAACAACCAATGAAACCTGAATAAAACAAGAAATCAACAATAAAAATCTGAGACGGACAGGATAGTTGATAGCCTGTCAGCTAGCATTGCAGCAATACACACGGACATCAAATCTTCCCTTATGGATATTAAATCCGATTTAACAACCTTCCAAGATTCTCTCACAAAAGATGTGAAAATGGAACTAAGTAACTTTAAACAAGCAGTCAAAAACTGGATGGCCTTATCACGGATCTGAACGCAACGGCACAAAAGGTCAATGAAGCGAAGCAGCGAGTGGGTGGAGAATTGGTGGAGAACTAGGGTTGGGTATACCGGTGCTAAATCGATACTTTTAAAACAGTACCGGTGCCAAAACAGTGCCTGAACTGATACTTTTTAGCCACAAAATTATTTGACAAAAAAAAAAAAAAAAAAAAAAAAAATATATATATATATATATATATATATATATATATACATATATATATATATATATATACATACATACATACATACATACATACATATATATATATATATATATATATATATATATATATATATATATATATATATATATATATATATAAATATATATATATATATATTAATCATTGTAATTGAACAATATAAATATATATTTTTAATAAGTTTATAATAATCATCAATTCATATTTTATATATTCAGATTGCATTAATATATTTCTTTTGATCATTTGTTTGTTATCATGTACGCAAGATTTGCATTATGCTATTAACATTACGTTATCAGGGAACACCTTTTTTCTTGGTTTAGGGCTTGTGACTACTTTTACATGGACATCATCTAATGATATTTCTTAATCTGAATGAGACAATAATATGATTCAGGTGTTTACATGAGTTGCTTTTTGAATGTTACATTCATGATTCTCAGTTACATGTTATAGCACATAGATCTATTATCGTCATTGCGTCACCAGCCTATAAATATTTCCTCTGCAGTGTGTCTATAATCATTTAAGATAATCAAAATTCAATGTTTACGTGGTAGACTCTGTTCAGAGTATTGTCTTAATCATGTTAAAATCTGAGTCTTGGTGTCCATGTAAACATACTCACTGAAAGTGCCAGATGATGTCACAAGCTGTCAAAGACAGTCCATTCCTCACCTTTCATTCCATGAGCCCTCACATTTCAAAAGTTACACGCAACTTTTGTAAAGCATCTGCTGCATGTTGGTGTGTCAGAATTCTTGCTTGTAAAATATAGCCATACTTTAGAATGCTAAGTTTAAGCAATTAGATGAATGTGTTGATGAAAGGAGTCGCTCACCGCATGCGCCGTACTGTGCCCTTTCATGGTGCTACATGTGCGTTGCCGAGCAGCTTCTGGTGTGCGACCTGCTTTACATTATTGTCGCAGCACCAGTAGCACCGGAATTAGGGACTGAAATTCATATACTGATTCAGTCTGGAGCATACCAGTTCTACCATACCAGTGCCATAATGGCATCAGGTTTCGGTACCTAACCCTAAAGCCTGATTTATACTTCTGCGTCAGGTGACGGGCGTAACCCAGGGCGCAGGCAACGCGCGTGGCTGTGCATTTATACTTCTGCGCGCTGTCTCTGTCGGTCTGCATTAACACTTCCTAAACGCTAGTTGGCAGTGAGGTGTAAATGTTCCTCTGTGTCGAGTTTCTTCGCTACTTTTTTGCTTTTCCTGAACACTTCCGGGATGTAAAAGTGGCTCAAACTCGCTCATTTTGAGGCAGGAACCGGTGGACGAGCAACAACTTTAACTATGAGGTAAACACAAAACAAAACTTTCCATCCGGAGCTCCTTCACGGGACTCCACACTTGTAAACAATCGCTCGCGCGGCGTTGCGCAATTCGCACGGCTATCGGTCCCGCCCAGACTCGTCAGCGCTACCGAGCCGACCAATCACAGAGCTTATGCTACGCGTCGTTGCGACGTGTAGTAAAATTTTTTGAGAGGTGCACGTCAGTGACGGCGATGGCCACGGCGAAGGGCTATGAGTCAGCGCCGTAGCATACGCCGGTGTTTGACGCAGAAGTATAAATCAGCCTTAAGGAGGAAAACGTTGCTGAGGTGAAAGAAATGCTCAATCAAATCATCCAAATTCAAGAAGATTTAGAAAAGAGACTGTTATTATTCAGATTTTTTAAATCCCGGAAGGGAGTGAATGGAATAGTATCCAAGACTTGGTCATGGATTCCGCTACATTCATTCTTCCATTGAGGGGCCTAACGTCAAAATTGATCCCACCACGGCTACATTACAGCTTTTCTTTCCAACATTCAGTTTTTTTTTTTTTTTTTTAATAGCGGGTGATAATTGCACCAAAACGCATTAAAAGGTAAGTGAATTATAAAAGTGCAAACTTTTCTATAACTGTAGTAGTGCTTTGTGTTATTTGTTTAACCCTTTAAGGTAGCGTTCTGACTGACTGACAGGTGCGTGATGTGTGAGGCCAGCAAACACAACATATAGCCGTTTCACTTTACTTCAGGACGCATTAATGCCACTCCGTAGGTCTATTGGAGACTTTCATAAATATTCCTAGCAAATCTAATAAATGTTGGAGACATTAACGCACATAAACGCACTAAATCACAATTCAGCAGCATTTATTTGAGAGCGCACAAAAAGATCTGCGCTTGAGCAGCGTATATTTGAGGGGGTGTGCAAAAAGTTTTGTGCTCGAGCAGAGGAAATTGGCTCGCAGGCAAAGAGATTCGCATGCTCGTAGGCTACTACATAAATGCGATCTCGACTTTTAATACTGTGCTCAAAACATGTGTCATTGAAATAACGCCACAGGTAGCTGATAATCGTGTAAAAAAAGGCCTGCTGCCACAGCTGAATAAAATCCTAAAGGAAACACTGTTGGTGAAAACGATTATCAAAACAGAGCTGTCACTCGACGAATTGGACCTTAAATTCTAACGGTGTCAAAGGGCACTCGGACCAAAGCCACCCACTGATGCAAACCCTAGATGAGTGGTGGTATTCTCCCTAAAATACAAAACAAAGGACCCAGTCCTCCGCTGTGCATAGAGGAAGAAAGTAATACACTGCAACGAAAAAAGGATTTTCTTTGACCAAGACTACCCACCTTAGATCCAACAAGAAAGATGGACGTTTGCTCAGATATATAAAATTCTGAAAGAAAAGGGGATTAAGTTGCAAACACCACCGCCGGCGAAACTTAAAATCTTTCTGGAAAACAGGCCGGTCATGTACAATTGAATAACGGAGGCATCAAGACAGAAAAAGTACTGATAAATGAAATGAAAGAAAAAGACTGATAAACAGCGAAGAAGAAACTGTTATAGTAATCTCTAAAAAAGTGAAACAAGGACCTTGGCAAAAAGTTGGAGTGACATTGAAGAAAAGGAAAAACATCAAGCAAAGATCCGGGAAAAACTGACATTTAAAGGGACAACACTAGCTCCATTTGAAAGAAGGGTAAAACTTGACAGATCCTAACAAAGAACTCTAACAAAGAAGAGAGACTGGTAAAACTTCTTGACTTAATTCAACGATGATGGACATCTAAATCGTTTAAAGAAAGAATGGTAATTAATCGAACTGACCAATGACACAAGATGAACGATTAAAGCACACCAAGACTCAAGTCATTGAGTAACATACTAGTAGGAGGACATAAAAGGATTCTAATTTATACACTTAAATCCCTTGCTATAATTAGTAGAAATACAAGAATATAATATTGCCAGCTATGGACGCTGAAAATATTCATTAACATTTTTGTGCAATAGGCATAGCAAGGAGGGGCCCTTTAGAGAAGGAAGGCTTTCCCTCTCATTAAGAAGTTATTTAAGACTTCAAGGTTTGGAGACCTTTTTCGTTATGTTTTTTTTTATGTGGTTCAAGATATTCATGTTTGTGTTTTTCATGTTCCGGTCACCGTGATCTTCGCAATAACATCGGATTATAGTATATGCAAAAACAGGAACATAGAGTAATTACTTTGAAAATTAATGGGTTACTAAATCCGATAAAAATAAGTAAACTTGTGGCTAAAATGAAAAGAGAAAAGCAACAAATAATCTGGCAAGAGATGCATCTTTCTGATACAGAACATAAGAAATTAAAAAAAAAAAATGGGATTTAAGGTTTTGTTTTCCTCATATATTAATGGTCGTAAATGGGGAGTAATGACATTAATCTTAAATAATAATAAAAATTCCTTACATTTTAA